CTTAAGTTGTACTTCACTAATGAAACACACGCTAAAAAGGGGAAAAGGGGAAACATTTTCACATAGTTTTATGTCAGCAATCTAAAATACAACCTAAAGGAAAGATTGATCTGGGCTTTATGTTTTTCCCAGCCTTTGTGAAGGTTTCTAACAGAATTGATTTATTTGAGCATCCAGTTTTAAAGTGAACAGTTCCTAGCAACGTGAATGTCTATAGTGACCTTCACAGCTTGTCTTTTAAGAGGCATGGTGACCCCTGCCAGTAGTTTTTATAACGGTGGATTATTCTCTGAGCTTTACACACATTGAGCCCAATTTGCTGAGTAGGTGTGTTTTTCCCTGCCCAAAATTTTAAGAGATTTGAAAGGTTCTTTAATTCTTACCATGCAGTAAATGCTACACTGGCGATGTTGAAATAGTAGATTCCCCATACAACTATATTCCTTTCAGCACATAGTTTCTGTAGCCTTATTTCATGTCCTGGTTTCCACTCTGGTTCACCATTCCATCAGGAGTCAGGACTCCTGAATCTAGCTGGCGGCTGAACCAGCCTTGGACAGGATGTCTCTCTTCCACTCCCCAAAGGAAGAGCAGACCCTGGGAACTCTCCGGTTCATTCCACATCTTGACAGAGACTAAAGTAAAAGGTGCTTTCATCATGTTGTGATGTCAAAGAATTTTCATGCACCCCTAAAATTCTGAACTCTTTGAAAAAACCCAATGAGGATTGAAAAATCGACACACCCAAAAGCTAGTGTTTGGGAAGACAACAACCCGGAGCTGTTCTGTTTCTGACTCAAGATATTGGAGCAAGCTGTGGCTCTCCATGGAGGTAGCCCCTTCTCAACTCTCAGTGTTGAGTTCAGGAGTCAGAGGGACCGTAATTGTAGATGCGCATAGGCATTTAAGCAAGACTTAGCACACTAGGATCTTCCATCCATTCTACCACTTACTGTCATCTTCTATAACATACACAAAAGAAAGTGGGAGGAGTGTATCTGTGTCCACATTTTCTGCCTGGCACAAAAAATGACGAATCCACAAAGTGCGGTTTCACCTAGCATTTATCAGCCATCAAAGCTGCACAGTACTGTGACTTTCTATTTAATTCCTCACCATACCATATTGTTTAAAAAAGATTCCATCAGGCCTGGTCACAGTGGCTCACATCTGTAATCCTAGCACTTTGGGAGGCCAAGGTGGGTGGATCACTTGAGCCCAGGAGATAGAGACTAGCCAGGACAACATGGAAAAACCCCTTTTCTACAAAAAGTACAAAAAACCCCAAAAATTAGCTGGGCATGATGGTGCGTACCTATAGTCCCAGGTACTCAGGAGGCTGAAGTGGGAGGATCAGCTGATCCTGGGAGGTCGAGGCTGTGGTGAGCCCTGATTGCACTACTGCATTCCAGTCTAGGTGACAGAGTGAGACCCTCCCCGCTCACCCCCATAAAAATGGATTCTGTCATCTGATTTACAGATAATCTTTTAAATCACTAAACTCAGAACAAATTAAAATATCCAAAACATATATTTATAATTTTACATACAAGATTCAGCTAGCTACCAGAATTTTGGATAGGTGAACGGGTATTTTAGCCTTCTGTGAATATCACTTAGGTGCAAATATAGCCTTTGTCATCAGAGTGAAATATCATATTATGACTAGGTCTCTGAACAAATTTGTTGAATTTATTTTATTTTGTATTTTGAAGTTGCTTTTAATATGAATGTTGGAATATAAGGGTCCTAGTAATTAGATTACCACCGAGTACCAAAAAAAGATATGAGAAAATTACTTCCATTAGGTTCAAAAGGATTTATTGAGATCCTAAAATATCATACTTGCCAAAGGGGAGAATTGTCTTCCAAAATCATTTTTCTTTTTTAAATTTGGGTGTCCAAAGCCACTGCACTTACTACAATTAATAAAATTATCTGGCAAGGCATAAGAGTGTTCTTGCTTCAGACTGCAAACACTTTCCCCTGAAGACTTGGAATGACACTAAATTAATATGAGGGAGGAAAGAAAGAATTAATTAGTATTTGATAGTGGAACATTGGATGTTGATTAATTAGTCACAACCAACACTAGCTGAGCTTCCTTTATAAACCTCAAACCATATCCTTCCCGGGTTTGTTCTCATTGCCACCATAAATTGTCCATATACTCACTGATGGTAATCTGTCACAAACAAACATAAGGGGCTCTTAGTCAAATGGTGACATATATGTGAGTGTATAAACTTTCTCTTATTAACATTACCCAAGGAATATACCATCTATGGTGAAAATTGCATCAGCAAAGAAAAAGGAAGGACGATGTACCCACAAGCAAATGCAAATGGAAACAAAAGCAGGTATCACAATCTCTGTAGAGAAAAGAGTGTTCAAGCCAACACATTATTTAAACAATGAAGACCGTGTTTTTTGACAAATGTTAAAATTTGCATGATCTTGCATTTTGCTTCTTACGTTGCTGATTTTATAATTCTGGTTAAAGCTGGCCTGAATGTATTCAGTTTATTTGTAATATCCTAGTACTTTAATGCATTTTTTGGAGGAATGAGTAATATTATTTTTCACAGATGAAGAAGGAACGGGTAGTGAGTCAAGACGCACTGAAGCAAAATAA